TGAACTGTGCAGTGGTTTCCAAATCAGGGAGCTCTCCATATAGTTTTCTTTCTATTGGGGTGTTTTGGGACCAGTGTCTTATAAGGGCCTCTTGGTAAAGAGAGCAGTTTTGGAGGACGTGGTCAGCTTTCTCTGGTGATACTCCACATGGGCAGATTTCACTGGTTCCAATTTTGAGCTTCCGGTACATGTGTTGTCGCATTCTGTTGTGTCCGGTCCTGAGTCGAAAGATTAGACGTTGATTTTGTCGAGAGAGTTTATAGTAAGCATCATCTTTCTTGTGATTTGGGTGAGAGCTCGTCCATTTCTCATTTATTTTATTTACAATTAATTTCTTCAATTCTTCTGGATAGAGTGCAGAGTTTATTTGTGAGTTAGTTCTCCCACTCTTGGCGAGTGTGTCAGCCTTCTCATTTCCTTCTAGTTGTATATAAGCTGGTATCCATTGTTGAAACCTACTGATTCACATCACTATAAAATAGATTATAATAGTAGATTGTTAGTGGTATAAGAAAAACAGACATTTTCTTATTAAAAAAAACAGTTGATATAAGCTTGGTAATTAGTAGATAACATGAAAAAAAAAAGATTTCAAGAGAACAAGTATTAAAGTAAAAAAAAAAGTAAAGTTCCCCTTTTAGTCCTTGTGGTCTATAGTAGTATAGTATTAGACCACTAATAAATAGTAAATTATATATATACTGTATCAGTGGCGTAGCAAGGTACCCGTTGGCCCAGGTTCAAGACAGTATGACAATTTGTTTGTGTAACAGCGATATCCAGTACTTTGTATTTTTTGGTACATTTACTAAAAGACATTCCAATGCACGTTCATGAACACAGCTGACAGAATCATTTAAGACCATGATGTTTAAGTAGGCCTACTGTTTAGCACAGTGAACATAATGCACAAGGGGCTGCTTTTGTTGAAACAATACCTGAAGGCTATTATACTGTCCGCTCATATTGAAAAACCATCATAGCCTTGGCATCGAAATTAATTTTTAAAAAAGGTGATGATATTTTATTACTTAAAAGTAGGCTATTTGTTCAGTCAATCTTGTAGACTTCTGGTTCTCACAAATATGAAAACCTACATATGAAAAATGTCTTTGGGTAGTTTGTCATCGGAGTTCAGAAAAAAAATGAATTGTGAAAATTTGTTTATTCTCTTTGAGTGCTGGATTGGATATCTTTTAGTATTTTTGGTAAAATTGCATTGCCCAACAGGTCTATTATTTTGAATCTGTGGGTCGAGGTAAAGGCTGTGTTTTTTTCTTAAGATAGCATGTACTGCTAAGACATTGTCATTGTTACTTGTTTCACTTAAATGATAAACTTTGCGATGACCACCAAATGAAAGTTTGTTGCATGCTTAAGTTTAAAATAACTAACATTCACGATGCGATGAATTACTTTCCATCAGTAATTGTCAACTTCTTCAACGTGCTCATTGTTTACATCATCCACCGTTCTCAGTCGTTCATGTTATCTGTAATTTTGGCAAGCTTGTTGATGAATTTAAGTAATTAGTAGGCCTATCCTTTTTTTTTGACGGTTCTGTTGGAAAACAAACAACATTGATGTTGTCTCAGGATATAAACGATGCTTACTTATAAAAAAAAAAAGTTAATCATATCAACGGTTTAATTAACATATCGGAAAGAAAAAGAAAGAATGGGAGTATGGGACCCAAACGTCACCACTAACACACTGACACCACATTACAATAAACCTGTTGAAAGCAGTTCCTTACAATGAATCTAGGTGAAAACACAGGTTAATGTTTTGAAGTTAATATAAAATTTGATATGACGTTTAGGATATTTTATGGAAACGTTTCATTGTTTAAACCATTATTTACAAAATTGCATTGTAGGGTAGGCCGCAAATGGTCATTAGTCATGGGACCAGGTGATATGAAACCTCTAAGTGCTTATTTAGAGTTGAAAAGGCCTTAAGCTATTTGAGACATGGGGCCCCATATAAGTCCAGATATTGTTTGTAACTACTAAATATTAATTGGAGGCACTAAGCTAGAGATAATGTTGCATAGAGGTACATACAACCCTGGCCTTATGGTTGTTACACCATTGGAAGTGGGCCCGGGTTGATTGAACTCCTTTGTGCCATGGATGCTACGCCACTGTACTGTATATATATCTATAGCATATATATCTATAGATTTTGAAGAAAATTTCTTTTGTTTAGTTAACTGATGAGCCCTTACAAAGGCCAGCAACTCCTGGAAACAGACGCGCTCATGACAATTTAAATAAGAACAATAATAATGCCCCAAGGTTAGTATTGATTCATTGTGAAAAATTATTTTAAAAGAAGCACAATACTTTGAGGGTTTATTTTGTTGGAAAAAAAAACAACAAAATACTTCATAACTATCATAAATAATTGTAAACCTTTGGAACTGAATGTAACTATATTTTAGTCATAAAAATGAACCAATAATAGTTCTCTTACTGTTTCTAAGGTGGAATAAAACATTAGAACAATATTACATTGATGAAAATATTATATTATATATATATTTTAAAATTCATTTTTGATGATAGTGTAAGGAAAACTACACCAACAGAAAATCCTTTGTTTGGTTCAGAAACAAATCTTGCAAGACCTCCAACAAGAAGTGGAAGTCGACCTGCTTCACAAGAATCGTCTCACAGTTAGTATTGAGTCTTGATCAATCCAACTTCTGCAAAATGTCCCCAAATATTAAAAATCCTAACTCCAATTTATATTAGGGCTAATGGAATTCAATGTAAAATAGGAGTTTATAAACTAGTTAATTTGTAAATTATTATTGTTAATTGTTGTTATGCATAGAGCATTAATAACCTTGAGCAGAATATTAAAGTAACCTGATTTTATCTGTTGCATTAGATGTTGATGTCAGACCATCTAGTCAAAACAGAGCTCTCCGCCCTTCTACAAAATCTCTAGAGAAGGTTGGACCTAATGCCAAGTAAGACTATAGGAGTGTTTTCTTTTTTTATAAATAGTACCATTAAGTAATACTTCCTACTATAGATAATTCTATTTCTCTAGTATCAATGAGTATAGAACTGCCTTTGGAGCCAAACCAAAAATACCAAGAACACCAGAAGCAGGATCCTATTCATCCATTCGATCACCCAAAGATTTGCCTCCTCAGCCTCAATTTTCTGAATCAGGGCCGAGGCCAAGCTCAGCAGGTAAAAGTAGTGGTAAGTAGTAAAGTGTCATCTGCATGGCTTCTTTCAAAGAACTTATTAATGGGAGGGTGGTTTGTTCCTAGTTATCTCCACTTGTAGATAATATGGTTTTAACACTTAGTTAAATCCTTAACAAAACCCAGAAGGAGTCATATCAGTTATATCCTTGCAGATAATAATAAAAGTTGGTCAATGTTCAATTAGGTTACCTTTTATTTTTAAATGTAAATGTCCACCTGCAGACAATGGTTTTGTCTGTGTTGGATTTTTGCACAACATGCAGGTCATAGCTGGGTCTCCTTCTTAATGTTCAGACTCAGACAAGAACTATATGTATATTTATATATAAAACACAAGATGTACTGCATGGTGATCTAATAGAGGGCAGGAGAACTGCTGGTCCTCCACTCTTTAGATACCCTTGTGTATCTTAGTCTTATCAACCTTAAACTCTTCAAGATTGACACCAATAGTGAAAATTAAAGCACATGATGGGCAAATATAAAGGAGGGATCCTGGATCACAGATGGGGAGCACACCAGAAATAGTCTAAGAATGTGGATTTGTATCAAGCATTGTCCTCTGTAATCAACAAGCCAGACATGAAATGCCAAATTATATATAATGACATTTCTGTTAGTGCTATTTCTATTGTTTATTAAGAAATATTATGAGCATTTAAAATAAATTAAAATGATGTACTGCTTTTTATGACACATTTTCTTGATGAATTTTTTTTTTCTTCTTCTTTTTCAGTTTTTAACATTATTGTAAATGTTTTATTTCAATTTATGGAAAGTAATTATAAGATAGCATTATACTATGCTATACTTTGATTAGTATTTTAAGAATTTAAGGTACTGTTAGCCTAAGACCTCTTTTAAACTATCAAGTTAAAAAAAAGTATGCTTTTTCATTGCCTGATTTAGAAATGTAATACATTTAAGTGTTCTAAATTATTGGGACTGATTAATTTAGAGTAAACTACCTAGTCTTAAGCTTTCATCTAATCCTAGTAGAAGCTGGAACGTAAGGATCTTCTTTTTAAATTTAATGGTTCCTGGGTTTTGCTAGTCACAATAAATAAATTGCCACTTTGTAGTTTTGTCAAACATAAATATTTACAATAGTCTAACCAGATGCAATACTTTCTTTTTCAGGCAGCCCTAGGAAAGGATCAACATCAAGCACTGGAAAAAATTAAAGTTCTAACATCTCTTGTGAACATGTACCAGTTATTTTTTCTAACATGGTCAAAATATTATGCTAATTTTGTGGTTATTTATCATTGTTGTCATTAAAATCTCTTCAATAAATTTGTTTCTAAGCAGAACAATCATATACAATTGCATTCTGCTATATCAACTTTCATCATTTCTTTACCTTTGCCACTATTGGTAATACACTTTAAGCAAATTCTGTATGTTCTAATTGACACACATTTCACTCAAAAAAAAAAAATGAACTTGAGAATCACTGTATAGATATGTTATTATGTCATATTTATTCAAATATACAAATTGTACAGTGTTTTGAGACAAAACGTTCACTAACAGTCCTGACTGGTACAAGTATAATGATATGATTCTCTAATTTAGTAAGTCGCTGACATACTAAGGATGCTTACACAAAAATTGCACATAAGTATTGAATATATGTATAGAACTATGTACATGATTGAAGCAGATCAGCAGCAAGTGGTCAATGAACCATAATATATGAACTTTCCTAAACAATGGATTTAAAGGACAAATATATATATATATATATATATATATATATATATATATATATATATATATATATATATATGTATAATATATACATATATATATACATATGGCTCCTTCTGTCTCGTAAGACAATGGATGCGCCCAGGACAAATATACAGTGGCATAAAATACTCTTGTAACTAACACAACAGAACATATCTAAAAGTTTTGCTTTGTTTCAAACCATTTAATGTGATATGTTCCAAAATATTATCTTTATGACAGATAAAAATAAAAACATTTCTGTATTTATCATGAGGTTTAATTCAAAGCAACAATCAAAAAACAAATTCTACTTGACCAGTTAGGCAATTCTGTCTTACTGTACCTGCACAATGTTGTAACAATCCTAGTGGTTAGTCATTAAATAAAACCTAGTTGTAACTCAAATAAAATGAATAAACCCTCAGCCCAAGTTTCTGATTCCTATCAAGTGTATGCCCATTTATATATATGCTATACAATTATAACAAAAAAAAATATCTGACAATACTTCTGATGTGCTGCTTTGTTTTGATTCAAGCTATTAAAAAAAGTTATGTAAAAATTTATATCATTTACAGAAACCACAATAAACTTTGTTCAAACTTTCATGCTTCAATAAATGACCTTTTATTAACAATAGTAGAGTATCTTTGAAAAAAACAATTTTTTAAATAATTCCAAACAAACTACTTAGGATGAGACCCTGCCTGAAGATCTCTAAAAGTTTCAGAATTTGCTTTAGAACACCTGTATATAGAGAACACCATGAGGACTTAATTCAGCAAGCTAATATTCACTATCTCCTAGCAGAACTGTCTTGAAAAAAAAATTTTGTGGAGAATTATCTTATGGTTAAAAAAACATTTGATATGCTTTCACTTAGAACAGAGTAAAAGTTTTTTTTACAACAAAATCAGTGCCTAATAAGATAAACACTCTTAAAAAAAAAAAGGTATTACAAGCAAAAATGATGAAACCATCAATTTGTTCTTGTGTGCAAGATGTAAGAAGGAAGTCTTTAAAAAAATATAAAAAATTACAGAATGAATAATGACAGTATCAGTATTTTTAAGACATAAAGCACAAGTGTCCCATCAAAATATAGTCAAACTTACATTGTCCTGAGCACTATCCTAATCTGAACTACTTTAGCAGAACAACCTTAGGTTACAAGCAACTGAAGCATCATTTTTTTTTAACTCTGAGTATGATAGTATCATTCATTTTAAAAGAATTGTGTTTTTAAAAAATGCTTCTTGATAAATGTAAAGACATTCAAAGTTGTAGAGAGTAAACAATAATGATAAAACAGTGTGAATAGTTTATTGAATTAATTTCTGGACTCACTACATTTAATGGAAACTGCTTTATATATATTTATATAAAAATGTGGACAGGGGTAAACAAACTAATATTTAACTGTGAAAAAGTTTCCAGAATAAAGTACAACATACTAAGCAGCAATGTGGCAGAGTGTTCCTGTATACAGTGTTCTCAAAATGCAATGACACAGCAATGATGACATGAACATGAAAAGTTAAGTGCAAGTCTTCATAACATTACATTGTCTAGTCAACAATCACACAATTTTGCATGACACAGTCAAGTGTAGTGTTGGACTTGGTACAATCCCAGCCAAGTGTTCTAAGAGATGGGTTAGAACAGAGAATGTCTGATGTTTTTAAGAAGCTGAAGAAAAAAAAAAACAGCACTGTGCTTGACTGCCTGCTAGGGAGGGCCTATTTGTGACTGATCCGTTTGGGGCAATATATATTTCTAGAAGTTTCCACGAAGTCTCATGCCATCATCAGTCTATATCTTCAGCTTCTATGAGAGCTGGAGAATGGAGAAGAAATGTGTCAGTTGTAATTCCACTCATTAATAGAAGATCATGCTGGAGCTAGTTTTTTTTCACATTTAAAAAAAGCTGGTCTAGCAACACTATACAAAACGAACAAAAATATTTAAAGTAAAAATAAAATAAAAAAAAGACTGCCTTGCCAGTTTGAACAAATGAAAATGAGACATTTTGAGAAATTAAAATGATAACAAAATTGGATGGATAAAAACAAAATGTTCAAAGTTAAATTCCTATTCAATGACTGTCTTGAACATGTCTCATTTTGTCAAGCCATATCACACTGAATCTGTACTGATAAACAGGTCCAACAGTTTGCATAGATTAGAGAACATAGCACATTTACTCCTGATGGTTGCTATAAAAGCTACATTCACAAGCCACCAATGACTATATAGATAGTAACATGCACATCAAACAACAACCAAGTTTTGAATAACTTTCTATGACTTTACATATCTAAATGAATATTTGTGTAGAGTGAAGACAATTAGTAGAAACAACACTGAATTTTTCTATACACATCTGATATTTACATTTATACAATTTATACAACTCCTATAAGGGTAAAATAATTAGTTGTGTATATAAAATTATATATAAGGATAGTTCAACATGTGGTCATTTATATTACAAGAAGTGACAGTTAATTTTAGTTAAAAACAATTTCTTTCAGTTCAATCACTACCCTGTGTTCTTGCAGTTATAAGTATTTCAACATCAATATTTGTGATTGATAACATTTAATGATTTTGTTAATGCATACATTTTGATAACACATAAGGTACGTATATGTTTATCAGATTTCAAGTGCTGTTCTTTTACTGAATAGTATAGTACAGACATTCAGACTCAGTGTCAAAACTGAAAAGTGTAGATAAAAAAAAACAACAACAACAAAACAACATATAAATAATTTAGGAAAAAAGATTTCTCTTTTTTCAATGATACAATGTACAATGGCATGCAGTAAAGACAGCTCATCCTACCAACAAGGTAGGTCACTCTGGTCTATTCATTGCCAGAGTCAAACAGAATGTCTTTTTCTCTATATATAAATGACAAAAATATCACATTACATCTACAAAAAACTCACAGGGATTGCCCATGGCCATACGAAATGATTGCCTGCTACCACTAACTTCTGGAGGAACGGAAGACAGATTTGACATTGGAGGTGCTCCAGGCGCCCCCTGTGAAGACGGTCCCACTCTTCTGGCACTTGCTAAGCTTGCATCTGTATCACTTCCACTCCCTGATTTCCCTCCAGATTTGTCTCTGTCCTTTTTACTGCTACCTGAGGCACTACTTCCTGAAATAGGACAAATAAAAAAATGATTAGTTTATTTGCTGTTAAACTTTGATTTCAAAAGCCATTGTATCAATCAGCTTTCTGTCAGCTTCATGAACTTCCTGAAAATGAGAATCTCAACCAACCCAAAATGTAGTGGATCCTTGAAAGGAATAATGTAAACAAGCTCTATTCCTACAAACATAAATTCAAATAAGTGATGCCATATTTTTAAAAAAAATAGTTTAGGATTGAATAAAAAATATCCTGTTAAACATTATATGACATGTTTCAAAAAAACTATTTTATATTTGATTCTTGTTATTCAAAGATTCTATAATGGCATAATGGCTAATCACAGTTAAAAACACTAGAAATATTAAGTACACATTTTCCATGATCTCAATTAAAGACTACTCATTCAGTTTTTAACATAAAATGTACAATGGCTTTGTTCCAACTTTAAGACACTTTTGAATTAAGGATTATTGTTCTGTACATGCATTAGAATGTGTCCTCTGAGACCCCTAAACTCCTGAAAACATAAAAAGAATTAAACAAAAGCAAACTAGAGCCATGAAGTTTATAACCAATGAATATTCACATTAGACTACAGTAACACCTTAAGTAAAATCCCTAAATTTAGAGACACTTCAGGACAGAAGATTAATAAGTAAAGAAGCAATAATACATCAAACACTCAACTTACAAATACAAAAACATATTAAAATACTCAGAAAGACACAAAAATAAAGGCAGATTTCTTATTCCATATGCTACAATGAACTACAATGAGTGATCTATCTTCTCTAGTTTCATTGTCAGAATCAGCCACTGATGACAAAGGGTTTCCTGAATCAGCTTACGAGAACCAATGACTTAATAGAGTTTTGTCTCTACCATGCATGACGATTAACACACAGTTATGGGTAGGATGTCATTATCTTCTTTTTTTGAAGGAACTTCTTTGATTTATAAGATAAAATCTTGTATTTCATTTTTTGTTTACATCCTGTGCATATCCCATCTAGTAATTCATTTCAAATACATATTTAAGCTGCATTATGTCAGTTTCCTGACAAATGAAGGCAGACTGTAGCAGACTTGTATGACATTGAAAAGAAATTCTTTTATGTGCCATTCCTAACATATGCAACAGAAATATGTTTTTATCTTTGAGTATTTTATTACAAAGGATGAATACTTATTTAATCTTGCTGCATTGATGTTTTTATGTATCAGACATATTTGTACAAAATATGATGTGTTTAACTTCAAAGAGCAACTTCAATTTAGAGATATTGATGGTTCTATTAGGATGGTCCATAACTGCTACTTCCTGCTATTCCTTATGAATTTTGATGGCCAACTATGTAATAAACTTTTTATCACATAGAACATCTACAATTAGTATAGACATAAACATACACAACACATACTCTGCAAATAACTAAATATAAGATGTAAATTTGGGAATAGTTGATCTACTCAATATACTTGGTCTTAGCATCACGAAAACCTGTGCCACCAGTTGATCTACTTGAGAACCAAATATATATATGTTGTACCCTCAGGCCACCAGTTGATCTACTTGAGAACCAATATATATATGTTGTACCCTCAGGCCACCAGTTGATCTACTTGAGAATCAATATATATATATGTTGTACCCTCAGGCCACCAGTTGATCTACTTGAGAACCAATATATATATGTTGTACCCTCAGGCCACCAGTTGATCTACTTGAGAACCAATATAAATATACGGTATATAATATATGCCAGCATCTGTGATATTTTTTCTTGCCAATAATCTGTCTTAACAGTATTAAACAGAACATGATAAAAATAAAATTAATATACTAGACAATAAATATCAAAAACTGAGAACAATCCAGAAGAAATAATGGGGAAAAAAAAAAACAACAGCAACAACAACACTAAGCTTAAAAAAAAAGCATACTCACAACAGACACTTAAAAACTAAAAGGGTGAATGGAAGTATTTCACTATCTATACTAGAGCTCAACACAATGTCGTTTTTTTCAGTCTGACGGCTAATGTTTCATTTTGAAAATTATTAATGATGCCTCCAATAAAATATATAACTAAGTTGTTGTTTTTTCATTGAAACTTCAAATACTACCTATAAAAAGATTGTAGCAACTATCATGACACTTTTAACCTCTCAACATATTAATGCTCAATAATTTGTGCTTTAAACATGATCTAGCACATTTATCAGAAAGTCTACAGTAAAAAAGGTGAACATTATGTATATATCTACAGTAAACAATCTAAATCTGATTATTAAGGAAACATTCTTCAACAACCTCCTTGCAAATGTAGCATTTCCTGAAATCTTCATTTTTAGTTTTTTTAAATTGCATTATTTCACTATTAATTCAGAGCTAATTAAAAGTGTCTTATTTCCAGATACGAATTCTTTGTAGAGAACATGATGACTAGATGTATGTGTGAAGAGATGAAATGTTTGTAACAGATGCTCAACTAAACTGAAATGAATGAAAACAAAAAAATACTGGAAACAAAACAACAACCAACCTAAGCTACTATTGGAATTCCTCAAGCATGCAGGATGGTGACGTAAGTTAATAGGGGAGCCATATGGATACGAGTGCTTGTCACCCATAGTATGGTCTCCACTGGGGCCTGTAGTGGCATGTTGCTGGTGTAATTGTGCATTTTGTTTATCTTTGTTCTCCCAGAGTCTCTTCAGCTGGTTATAAGTACTTGACAAACATGCACAATCTTTAGCCACAACTGAAATGGTAATGGAAATAGGGGCACACTAAACAAATAATACTTAAACCTCACTGTATCCAAGGGCCACCACTTTGAAAGTGGTTCAATATACAAAGAAAAAGATCAAGCTAATGGTTACTTAGACAATACTTAAATTATACTTTTGGATTTTGTTGCATTGAGGTTTGAGTGTATATCTAATTTACAATGAGAAAAGGGGGTGCAGGTTGCACAAATGTAAAAAGTATATTTAAATTAAAAGAAGTTAATGATACTGTTTAATAAAATTATATTTTTTTAACATGAATTTTTAAAATTATCATTATTTAATTCAAGAATTAATTTACAGTAAGTCAATTTTTATCACTTTTTATCAATTTTTTTTTAAAACAAATTTGTCAATATCTGGACTTAGTTAATTCTCTACTGCATTGAATCAATAAGGAAGTAAGCATTCTAATGTAAATATATTAAACGAAAATCTTATTTATTCTTTTATCTTTATTCATTAAAAAAAATTATTAGGTAATGTCTAGTTGATCATGCCAAATGTTTATGTAAAATGGAATATGAAACAACTTCAAAGAATGAAGAAAAGTGTTAAAGTGATTCAATTCAGACTAAGGGTAAAATATGGTGTGCCTGGACCTCAAGTTCAACCAATGTCAACAGTTAGTGCAAATAGAACTAACAGAAAAACCAGCTACTTCTAAATTTATATAGGATAATTATATGCAAAAAAAAAAAAAAAATGAAATTTTAAAACACTAGGTAAAAAATATTGTTAGTGGTAAATGGTAAAAAAAAAACAATTGTATACTGTAGTAAATATTACGTAGACTAACAAAATGTATGATTATACTGTGAAACAAAAAAGCAAATCCATTTATTTTTTACAGATGACTACTTCAGTTTTCAACCCAAATGAAATGCATTTGTATAGACACATCCAAGTTACTGTTTTTGTTAGGTCCCATAAACTGAATCATTAAAAAACCAAATAG